TGCACCCTTGTTGTGTTGGAAACAATTTCTAGTGGTGAGTAATGCTGAAAGTCTGTATGTTCTGGTTCATATTCTGTTCAAATACAGTTTTATGTTTACTGTTAGACGGTCTGTGGTATATCACTTGTTCCCGTTTTTGGGAGGAGTTGTTGGTTTGGTGGCAGTGTTTTCCAACAGATCGTGGGGAGTCATGTGGCTTGGTGACCGACTGGGGAGCCAGAGGACAAGCCCCTCCCCTCCAGGATCAAGTTTGGCCGGCTCTGCTTGTGGAAGGGGAGGAGCTAATCCCAGGAGTAAGGAGAAGGACTGCCCCACTACCGGACCACTGAGAAGGAAGCTTCACGGTAAGTGAATAAAATCTTCTGTTCCATGCAGAAGCTCTGTTTCAAGCAGTGTGCGTGGAAGGAAATTTACTGCAGCTAGAAAAAATCATTTAAGGCTGCCTGATGAAGTCTGTCATTTCCTGTCACTTTTAAAAACACTAGTGTGAATGACAAGGTGAGCAGTTAATTTGGGGTTTGAGGGAAAGAAGTTGACTTTATGTTGTATACATTTTTCTCAGTTTATGATCCTGCCCTGCCAAAATATCACATCATTCGGATATACTGCTGAGCACCTTACTCCTATTCTCAGTAGTTCTGAACCTTCATTTTGTACCAGCAGCATGCCTGGTTCTGTACAGAATGCAGGAATGACATCATGTATATTCAGAAGTCCAAATGAGAAAGATAGGGCAAAGGTAAAGACAAAGGTGGTGAGGAGTTATGACTGAGATTCAGAAGGCTATTTCCTAATTGGAGATTTCACTCTTGGAAACCATGTTTGATAACAGTGACCCATTGATGCCTACTGTGAATTGGTCCCTACTGTCAAATCAGCCTGGAAAGAAAGTGGAGGACAGTGCACTAGTTTTGTGTAGTGGTTAAGAGTGGTGCGCTTGATTCCCCACTCTTCCATGTGCAGCCAGCTGGGTGACCTTGGATCAGTCACAGTTCTCTCAGAGCTGTTCTTTCAAGAGCAGTTCTCTCAGCGCTCTTTTAGCCCCACCTACCTCACAGGGTGTCTGTTGTGGGGAGAGGAAGGGAAGGAGATCGTAAGCATCTCTGAGTGAAAAGTGGGGTATAAATCCACCTCTTCTTCTTTAAGGACATGATGATGACACAGTCATCACAGAAATGAGGACTATAATTTGGTTATATAATGTTCATTGGATGGTGCCCGAGTGGGCAAAGTGAGGGACTAGAAAGAAAATGACGCGTGTACTAAATGTGGAATAACATATCCATCCCACAGAGAAAATATAGAGAAATAGGCCTGCATGGTTAGAATTTTACACATGAAGAAAGAGGTAAATTTTAATTCTGGTTTTTCTTCTTTACAGTTGTAGCACTCTTGAATGTCAGACCCAAACACAGTTTGTATCAGATAACTGGCACAATAAAGTGAAAGGAAAAGTTTTCATAATCTGAAGCTCTGGAGGAAGGCATTTCTTTGTAATGTACATGTGACTGTACATTGTAAGTTAATGAAACACTGGTATATGTTACAGCCATTAATGGGCCCCTCTGTTACTGCCACTTCCCTCCTCCTGTTGAGAAATGAAGTGCCCCACCAGCTAATCGTGTGAGACTCAAGTGGACTGTCTCAGGCAGTCAGCTTTGGAATCCTTCCTTTCCCAGCAAGAGGAGGTGACAGTCCTGTAGTAGCCAGCTGGTAGCCATAGCATACACCAGCCTTAGATGCATGGAAATGCTACAGCCGCATCTGCATCCAAAGGGACTCAATGGGCCTTCACAGCACTGGGAGCCTAATGCACATTTGTTCTTACTTGTGTCTTAAATGCAGTAAAACTAAAGGCACTTCTGTACTATTTAACTTACAGCAGATCTCTCTATAGGAAAACACACGTTATACCTTCAAGTAAAAAGTGCAGTGTAATTTTTTTTCCTGCCATGTATATATAAGGTTGTCCAGTGCCATATCAACCTGTTTTCCTAAAGGCAATTTGCTGAGAGGAGTATAACTCTGCTTGGGGTGGCATTCTGAATGTAGTGTGTGTGTGTGTGTGTGTGTGTATTGATCTGATTTATTAATTGCCCTATTCCAGTTTACGCTGGGCTCTGGGCGATATACAGAAGGCAAAATGCCATAAAACAAGATACCAATTTTTAAATATCCATATACAGTTAATAAGATAAAACCAGAATAAGGGATCCAACATGGTGACTTACAATTTTCTGTTCCTGTTCTGGTCTGCCTGGCCACTTAGTGGGAGGGCAAGAGGGAAACTTACACAAAATACATAGGGGGGGGGGGAGAAGGAAAGGGTGCCAGCCAGTGCAACCAACTGTTGCCCAGAGCTCCCTTGGGGGCAACAGCTGGGATGTAAATCTGATAGATCTAGCTATCATTTCCCCCTTCCCCCCCCCCCGAAGATAAGGTCAGCATTTATGGTTCAGCTTCTCTCCTCTATTCTATCCCCACAACAACCACCCTGCAAGGTAGGTTATGCCGAAAGAGAGTGACTGGCCCAGGATTTCGTGGCAGAGCAGGCATTTGGCTCAGCCTGACACTGTAATGGCCTGTTGCCACACTCCCTGAATCCCTTCTCTTTCATTCCTTTTTCTTCCTGTTCAAGCCTCCTTCCCGCCTTGATTCAGTGTCAGCTTTTCGGGTATTTCTCACCCGATCAACCTTTGGCTTACTTTTTAAATAATACACCACTCTGCCTGCATTTCCTGCAGTTACCTTCGGGTGTCTATTGAAGCCGGTCACAGAAGTAGCAGAAGTATTGCAGCCTTTGATAAAAATGTGTGCCATGACATAGTTTAAGAGGGACATTTTTGAAACTTTCTTATAAAGCGAAAAGATCAGAATGATATCTGTAGCAACATATCGTTCTCAGAGTTTAGACTCTTAAAAATAGAGGGTCGTTCTGTCTCCTTGCTGAGCTGTAACACTAATATCGTTTTCCGAGGTGTTCCTGTCCCTTTTGACATCTTTGCCGAGCAAAGGGAGAGGCGCCTGGTAATTTCACTTCTATTAGGAATGCAAGAGTACACAACAGCAGACCCTTGGGACTGCGCACAGCCTGGGCCGGTCCAGCTGACAGCTTGCATACAAATGATCTCTCTCCACTGCACCTTTCTTGATGGCCTTCCTGTAATTGAAGCTGAGGCTTCAAGGGCATTGATACATTAATTGAATGCCTGCCTGGCATATTCAGAGTTTCTCTCTCAAGTTTACTTGTGCTTCGTAACTTTGTTCAGCAATTCTGCAATGCTGATGGCTTTTGTACGTTCTAAGTAATAGGCTGATTCTACTTTTTTTCCTCCTCGTTGCATTTTGAATTAGTGAACGCTTGTAAAAAGATGTGCTACGGTGAATACTAAAAATGTTCTCCTTGCCTGATTTGCACAAATGAAATTGGCACCGATTCATGCAGAAGTCTGTAAAAATCATTGTCTTTCGCCTCCACTTCCTTTCAAGTGTGGCCTATTATGTTGCCCTGGTTAAGGAAGTTCTGCAGTCGATCTTTGGGCTCCCCCTGCTGGTGACCCACACCATTTCTAAAACTGGCCCTTTCTAAAGATTTGTAAAACTGGCCCTTTGCAAATTGGAGCCTCTGCTTTTGGACTCCAGCAGTTTCTGTCTGATGATTGTGTTCCCCCCAGAGACTTCATAAGAGGATGAGGAACACTAAAGGCAGAGGCAAAAAAGCAAAATATATGGCATATTTCGGGTTTGGAAAAACTAGTTTTAGAACTCAGAATGTTAATTTTAATGGGGAGGTGCATGGAAGCCTGCCCTGCCCTAGATGGCCTAGTCTCCTCAAATCTGGGAAGCTAAGCAGGGTTGGCCTTGGTTATTACTTGGGTGAGAGACCACCAAGGAAGTCCAGGGTTGGTACACAGAGGCAGGCAAGGGCATTAGATTCCTTTATTATCTGCCAGCCGTGAGAATTGTTATACAGAAAGGCAAAGTGTCTCTTTATTCCTTAATACAATAACATGCTTAGGAAGTGATAATTACATCCAGGGGTCATTTCGTAGAAAAAGAGGTGCAGGAGCTCATTAGCATAACGTATTAGCATAACTCATTTGCATATGCCACACCCCCTGACATCATCGGAAGTGTGCCAGAAGGCAGCACCCACTGCTCAGGCTCCACTGGACTGTTCTGGATTGCTAGCTAATGGGGGGGGGGGACGTGCAGATCTGTCTACACAGAGGAGGGAGAGCTTGTACCTGAATAAAACTTGGTCTTAAAGGTGCCACTGGGCTGTTTTGGATTGCTAGCTATGGGGGGGGGGCAGATCTGCCCTCACAGAGGAGGGAGACCTTGTACCTGAAGGCTGGCCGGGGGGGGGGCTCTGCAATTTACCTGGCTGCTTCTTGCTCCTTGTGGCCTGACTGAGGGCTGCTGGGAACAGAGGGCAGGACTTGTTGCATGTGCCCGCCCCCTGGCCTCCTTACTGCCGGAGCTCCGCTCCTGTGCGCTCCCGCAGGAAATGACCCCTGATTACATCGATTATCTTTTTTTCTGATTTCCATTATATTCATGAAGGAAAAGCCATCATTCCTGACAATAATTAATCGGGGCTTCTTTTTCCTTGCCTCCTTGTTCCTATTACTGCATTTTTTCAAATATAGTCCTGCAGCTGTAACAATGATTCAAAGAGTCTAATGGAGCACACAGTTCTGCCTTGGAGTGCTTCAGTGCCTCTATGCTGCTTTAAGTGATTTTATAAAAGAGTAACAAATTCCCTGAAGATAATTTTTGGTACAATTCAAACTGTGTACATGTGGATTTTTAACAACAGAACATTGTAGCATTGTTGAAAAGTTGTTGTGTGATCTAGTGTGGGCCACCAGGAGGATAAAGGGATTAAGCACTGAGACTATATACTGTGGTTTTTTTAGTATAGCTTTCTGTACACATGATTATAAAATTATAATGATAAATGAAGTAATCTATTTCCATCCCCTTCTCATTTGTAGGAGAATGTTGTGTGACCAGTCAACTGGAAGAACCATCCCCTAGAATTTCTAACGCATACCTAAGTTTTTCTTTTGAGGGGTCTCTCATGACTCAGAAACAAAAACAAGATTTAAATCCATTGATTATTAAGATTTTGAGTGCAAAATGCTTACCAGATACCCCTGTTTCAATAGAAGAGCTGCAGGTAATTCAGTCCTTCTCTCTTGGTTCCTCATACTGAGACCATGAAGGATTATTTCTTGGGGAAGATAGAACACAGTTGTGAAGAGCATCTTCCTTCCTTGCATTTCTGATTTATGGGACACTAGTTAGATACAGACTTTTAGAAATGAATATTAGATCTTTCCATTTACAAGATGAACAGGGATGAATCATTAGTATAAATCTTGCTAGTGTGGATCCAGAGCTCTGTCTGCACTCTGTTCATTTTTTTAAAAAGTCGGTGATTGACATGTATAATGTTTTCAACTGGAGAAAACCCTCCCCACTAGCACAGAGGAGGCAGTTGCCATTTGGGGGGGGGGGATGAGGCTGGAAAAAATGTGGGGAAGCTTGCTATGTCTATGTCGATGCCCCATTGCCACTGTATTAAATTCGGAGCTACAGCAACAGCAAGGAAACTACCATGTGGAAGAGGTCTGAGTATGTCAAAATGATTATTTCTTAGAATGATATAGGCAGGAAAGCATCCCATATTGTGCCTTGTATAGTTTCATTGTGTGAGAAAGAACAGACTTTGAAAGAAAAGGACTCTCTCAGGCTTCTCTAGTCAACCTTAGACATACTAGCTTACCATGATTTTGGATTACCATCATTTAGCTACTCTTGAAGGCATGTAGATACTCTATGCAAACAATTTATTCTGTGGAAATCCTGTGAACTGAAACAATCCTCTAGTTGGGTGAGAGCCAATGGGGTGAAATGGTTAGACTAAGATATGGGAGACCCAGGTTCGAATCCCCACTGTGCTGTGAAAACTTGCTGGATGATGTTGGGCATGTAGCTAAACTAGATATGACAGTATCCTCAAATCTACCATGGGATTGCCTCTGCCAGTTTAGGGATGAAGTTTCCTCAGTGCCACAGGGGCCCAGTCCTGATCCGGACAATGGTGTGGGGGGAGCAGTCATGCCTTCTCCCCCCAGCTGTAGTCCCAATCAGGATCAGCCTCCCACAGCATTCGTAAGCAGAGGGCATTTCATCCCTAAAATGATGGAGGAGGTCCCCGTGGTGGACTTGGGCACACCATCACATTTAGTTTGGCTCTCAGTCTCAGCCAAACCTATCATACAGGGTTGTTGTGAGTCACTTTGGGTCCCCACTGGGAAGGAAAGTGTTGTATAAATGAATAAGTGAGAATTTACAAGAGCTAAGGAAGGGGAAAGGGCATACTTGCTTTGTGCACAGAGAAAGCTTATTGTCTCAATGCAGATCTGGTAAGTGACCAGGACTAGTTATTACTCCATTAGCAGTCATTATCTAAATTTTGCTGGATAATAATACTGGGGAAATGTGGGTGCAGCCATGGGTGAGATACTTGTGGCATTCATATGGCTGCAAAGGCAGTAAAATTATAGTGTCACCACATTCTGAACTACAGCTCAAGAGCAGTGTCTCTCTTCTTTCCATAATGAAATTCTCTAAAGTGGACATATATTACCAGCCAGTGGAAGTTTGACCAATATATCATGCTTGTTTTTAGAATTAATCAGCACACATTTTGCAGTAACCCTGTGGCACAGAAAAATATTGGCGGTAGATAAAATACTGCTCAAAGCTTTGTAATCGTGTTAGGTTGGCACAGCAATGTAACGCCATTGCTTTCACCTCCCTGTTAAGTTCCCAAGCTGTGACAGGAAAGCTGGTCTCTGCCCTAAAGGTTGTGATGGTGCCATTACCCTTATGTTCTTGAAATGCTGTCCTTCATCCCTAAGGAACTGGAGTGGTAGTTTTCTCTCCAGGTTAAGTTTTGCTGAGAGACAGTGATTTTCTCAAAGCTACCCAGTGACTGAATAAAGAAATATGTTGGAATGCCATTAAAAAGGAAACTCTGGCACCTCTTTCTTGTTCTTTTGATAGTGTTGCTGTGATCCTGTTTACTGCAAATACAATTTCCACAACTTGCCTCCCCGTCGAACACGAGGTCGCAATCACGGAACCGACGTCTTCTTCAAGGACATCAATGTGATTCTAGCAGGGACGATGGTACCTCAGGAGTTACGTGAATATCTAAGAGGGCCGCCATTGGAAATAGAGGTTCATGACCGAGACAAGAAAATGGAAAATATCACGAAAAAGCCTTCATTGTTTGGAGATGAGCCAGGTGACAGACAGCTAGCTCATTTGAACCCTATCACCAGCAGATATATGGTCCAGAATTCTATGATATCCAAGAAGGAAATATGGCATCCATATGGAGTAGCTAAAGTCAGCCTGACTGAATTATTGCTGGGCGAAAAGCACTTGAATATCTGTGTACCAATTCAGTGCTGCTCAGTTCAAGACACAAGCATCTGCACGGCAGAAGATTTTAGCTGGAAGCCCAGAGCTGCTGACAGTTCTCTGCCTGCTCATCTACCGATGGGCCATTACTTAGACTCGGGAGCGCATCTTAAAGTGAGAATTGAAATTAGTGTGCCATTAAGTCCTGAAGATGAAATTGCTGACACTGGCACTGACTATTGCCCTTATGGCTGCATCATCTATATTTTTGATTATAAAAACAGGTCACTGCTCAGTTATTTGCTGCAAGAGATTACAGAAATTAATGCAAAAGCTTTCCAACTTGATTCTTATCCCCTGCATATACTTCAGAAATCTCTTAATACATTAAAACTGACTAGCAAGATTTCTCTAGAAGACATTTCCCAACTGGACATTATTACTGGATTTCACATAATGGATGGATCCATTCACCTACTTGTTGTGGAAGGGTTGAAGGACAAAGCACTGAAGAAGATGTGGAATAAAAGAATAGATAGGTAATGGAAACCACTTCAGTTCTTAAGCCTACATTCCTTTGCAGTATTCCCACAAAGGTGTTTTGCTAGACTCATCCTTCATATGTTAAACAGAGAGATATCATATATAGAAACATCTGGTAGTCACTCTTGGTTTCTTGTTGGGACTTCTTTCTGCATGGAGTAATTGCACACCAGAAACTGAGAGCCAGTCACATGGTGGGACTTCTGCTGGGCTGTCAACTTTAAACTGTTCATGGAGATTTTTGGTTGAATGCTCCCCCCAGATTAAAAAATAAGTTTTCTATGTGCAAACGTAGTATGTCAGGCAGAGCGTGAGGCTAGAATCCGTTCCTAAATTGAGTAGTACCCCTACCTTGTGATAATCAGCAACTTTCTCCTTAGTATAACCTCTGTCCTGTTTGTTCATATGGGAATAGGGGGCAGAACTTTCATACATGACATCTAGCTGTCCTGTTTCAGACAGAATGGCTTTCCATTTGTAAGAGCTGTACACTCGAATAAAAATCATCCATTGTTCCCGTCTTAAAGCAGCAGCTCAGTTTATATATTATGAAGCTCACAGTAGGCACTTTTCCAAAAGTGTATAGAAACCTTTTACTTTTTTGATGCCACATAAATTACGCTGGTGCCAAAAAGAAGAATAGGTTTTTATACCCCGTTTTTCTCTCCCTTAAGGAGTAGTGACTTATTTTTATTTATTTATTTTATTAACTTTATATCCTGCACCTCCCCGCTGAGGCAGGCTCGGGGCGGCTTACAATATATATGTATCAATATATACATACAATCGGCTTCCCCTCCCCTCCCCACAACAGGAAACTTGTGAGGTAGGTGAGGCTGAGATAGTTCTGAGAGGACTGGTGACTGGCCTAACTGGTGGGGAAGAGAGAACTGGTGACTGGTCACCAGGTCGGCTTCTTGTGGAGGAGTCTGCTGCTCCATTACCACCACCCCCATTTGGTCACCTAACTGTAAAAGTTCTCATTCAATTAAGCAAAGAAATTGACAAACAGTATTTCTGAAATGTGTTTGAGTGGGTTTTTTTCTGTGACCACCTCCTGAAAGTGTGTAAAATTGACTTCCTTCTACAGTGCCGGAAAGTCTTATTAAAGACATGTTTTGTGAACTGACTCCTGGAATGAGGGGTAGGGGAAGGCAGAAATGGATTTGTTCCTCTTTGTGGATGGGTTTGCAGGTGCCACCCTAAGACCTGAAACCCCTGCCTAAGCTTGTGCTTGGTAGCAACTAGCTCCTGAATCCAAAATGTGTTAGGAGAGAAAAGTATTCTGTACTCAGAGGTACTTTGCTTTCGATGGTGCAGGATCCTACTTTGAATCCTGAGCTAATTCCTGAGAAAGTGTTGGCACAAGACAACTCTGGGGGCTGGGAGAGGGAAGGAGAGTAAAGGAGAACTTGACCATTGTAAGTAAGAGAAGGGGATTTATGGGGACAAGAACTTGTTTTTATGAAGCTGCGAGGTGGAGGTAAGACAGGGGGTGAATTGTTGTTGGAAGGGACTGAACAGAAGTGTGTTCCAGCTGTAGCCTTCTGGTGGTGGAGGTGGGATCAGTGCTTAAGATCCAAGGAGAGAGGTACTTGAGCTTTAGTGGGAGATGAGCCATCACTCTGTAAACCTCACTTTGGCCCCTGCCACACGGCAGAAAAAAACACGGCCAAAGTGTGGCTATTCAGAGCCACACTAAAAAAGACACGCGGCGGCGGGATCACACAGATCCCCTGAGCCGCTGCGCCGTTGCTCCCCGGCATGATCAGATGCCGGGGAGGACGCCACCGACGGGAGACTGAGGCAGTCGGCTGCGCATGTGTGCGCATGCGCAGTTCGGCCGGGAGCCTCGGATGCGCTGGCAGAAGGATGAGATCGCGCCCGTTTGCTGCGCCCCTGATCCGTCCTCTCCTGGCCCCAAACCTTCTCTGTGTAAGTTTTACTGAGGAAGGGAAAACACTCTGTATATTGGCATGAATACTGCCTAAACTCTGTGGGTGCAAGGGGTGTATGTCATATTTGCTGATCCATCCTCCTGTGGAAGACAGCTTACAAGTAGAAACAGTATCATAAAATATAAATTAGCAGCATAAAAGCAAAGCAAGCTGTTAAAAATAAGCCCAGGGGATAAAACAGCATAAATTCCCCACTGAGCACCTTAAAAAAACTTTGTAAAGCAGGCCTGAGATCAGAAGCAGACCATAAAACATCTAGAAAGATAAAACCCCTTAGTTAAAGGCCTGGCACCTAAAAGAGATAGGTACCAGGTGGTCCTCAACAAGGAGAGCATTTTAATGAAGGAATGTCCTTGTTTTCGTATGTGAAATGGTGGAGAGTATGCCTTTGCTGTCTCCTGTCTCTTTTCTGAAGGGAGGGGCACAGACAGCAGGGCTGGTGAGCTGGGCAGCGTGGGGGGGAGACTGTTCTTCAAATGCTCAGAGCTGGATTTTGAATATGTATTATTCCTGCTTAAGAATTCTGTGCCACAAATGTTGCAAATATACTATCAGCCACTGTTCCCGTTTCAAAATGTCATTCTGATAGAATGCAGAATAGAGGAGAAATTCAGAGTCCAGTGCTATGTATTGGTGATAGCTTTTTAGAATTTAAGAGGCAATATTGTAGTACATGTACGCATCAGGGTTAGGGTTAGGGTTGCCCTAAAGAATGGGGTTAAATCATCCTTTTAACCTCTTCTATCAGAAGAAATGTGGTGATGGAATAAGGAAGGGAAGGTAATTTCACCTCCTTCCCTCTCTTCAGTGCAAGCCCATACAGGCTTCATGTGGCTATTAACCCCTGGAGGTCTCACTGCCCTGGGAACCAGCTTTCCAGGAATCAGAAGGCACTACCTGGTCAGAGGGAAATAAGGACAAGATCTGCAGTCCTTGCTCCAACAGGTTGCTGGATTCAGACTGCGTTTGGTGTCTTTCCATGAGTACTGTAAACAGTTTTGCAGATTAATGTAGTGTTATGAATTTAATCCTGGTAAAACCAACCCCCCCCCCCCCCAAGAACTATGATCAGCACAAAGGAAAAGCAATTGGGTGGTTTTGTTATGGATACTTACTGGACAGTGCATAATGAATTCTCCTCTCCCAGAGTTTTTGTTAAAATTGCATGCCTTAGTGCCTGTGTTTATGTAGCCCTTTTAAAAGGTTTCCTTTGGAAATTGTGGTTGACTAGAAGCTTTGTGCAATCTGTTCTCAGCAATTTGTTGTGTCCTTTGAAATGTGTATATAGAGAGTGACAGCAGCAATGAGGAATGAGAAAAGTAGAGCTAACAGACTTCCACGTGGCACTTGTATGCGTATCGTGTTACTGATACTTAGATGGCGCTATGATAGTAATGAAGGAGAAATTATGTAGGTTCTCCAAATCAGTTCGTATACAAATGTTTTTTTAATTGTATGATTCCCTGAGAACTATAAACATTCAAAACTTGACATTTGAATCTTTTCCCACTGAATTCAAATGATGATGAAGAAGAAGAAGAAGAAGAAAAAGATAATGGCTCAGTCCTATTAAAAATAATCATTATTGGTTAGATCATGATGAGACTGGTTTGTTCTACCCTACTGGTGATGTGGTTGGGTTAGCCCACTACGACTGAAACTCCATGGCTTGCCCTGATGAGTTTCTACCTCTAAGAAATAGAAGTTTGTCTCTTTCCTGCTCTGTGTGGCATAGATGTGTGATAATGCACATTCTGTAGAGCTTTTGTTTATTAATTATTCATTAAGTATTGTTATATTAATTTAAAGACCTATGTACTGCCTTTCTTGAACTCACTGCAAACTCAACATGGTTAATTTAAAAATTAATTATCAGTATAAAATAGCATTAAATTTCAATAATCTGAAACTTTAAAAATCCGATTAGTATAAAAGCAAACAGTCTAAAACCAGGAAACCACCAAATCTGAACACTGCTCTCTTAAATAGCATCATTTTACAAAGCTCACAGAAAATGGGGAGAGGATGAGATTGGTAGCCCATTCCAGAGCTCTGGAGCTATTACTGAAAAATTATTTCTGAAACTAGACTTGATTCTGTCCCCAGGTTCACCCCAGGGATGCACCTCCATTTTCTAGTGCTGGGGATTGCCATTCCAGAGCGCCTGAAACTGGTCTGGCCCACAGCAGCACATAAAATGGCTTTCCATGGCACTAGAAAATGGAAGTGTTTCCCCAGGATGAACCCAGGGACAGCATAATGTCTAGTTTTGCCTTGAGAGCTGATGTGTTCTTCTGCCTTGAATTCTGCCCTGGAAAAGTGTTCAGTGATAGTCTGATTTCTTACATGGTACCAACTAAATACATGCAAGCTACACATATAACATTGCTGATGCTTCCAAATCTGAGCGTCTTTGAAGAATGCAAGTAGAATTCAGATTCTGGTTAAACTACATGTTGCCTGTGGATTTAAAAGGTCCAGCTGTTGTTGGAATTAAAGCCCTTGTGTTTCCTTCGAGCCCTGGATTTGGATAATCCAAGCTAGCCTGACCTTGTCAGATCTTGGAAGCTAAGCAGGGTTGGCTCTGGCTAGTATTTGGATGGGCAACTTCCAAGCAACACCGGGATTGCGACATGGAAGCAGGCAATGGCAGACCACCTGTGAACATCTCTTGCCTTGAAAACCATATGGGGTCGCCATAAGTCTGCTGTGACATGAAGGCACTTTCCACCACCATCATTTCCATCAAAGTAAATGGGAGTGCTTGCTTTATTTATGAATAAGAGGGAGAAAAATAAAGGCAGTGAACGTCATTCATATTTTAATCTTGCTTTGTTTCAGCCATGCTTTCACAAAAACCTACTGAGGCCCCTGCCACATGGGGGGGGGGAAGTATGGCCAAAGTGCAGCTTTTCAAAGCCGCACCAAAAGGCACATATGGCGGCGGGATCACACAGATCCCCTGAGCCGCTGCGCAGTTCCTCCCTGGCATGATCAGATGCCAGGGGGAAGCCACTGAAAGGAGAGCGAGGCAGCCGAACTGCGCATGTGTGCGCGTGCGCAGTTCAGCCGGGAGCCTCGATTGCTCCTGCAGACGAGCGCGCCGGCGATCTCACAGCCGCGCTTGCTGCGGTGCTTCAGGTAAGTCCTACCAGTTAGTAGGTTCTTTTTTGTACCGCATTTTCGTTCTGAAGGGACGGATCGGGAACGGGTGCGCGCTGATTCCCAGATGTTGCGGTGGGATCGCGCCCGTTTGTTGTGCCCCCGATCTTCCAGACCAAAACCTCCCATGTGACCGGGGCCTGAGTTAGGTTCCCACCAAGGGGGCTCAGTGAGTTCATGGTTAAGCTGGGTCTTCGCTGAAGTTTCTTAGGTTTTACTTAAGCCTCAGCATATTATTCTGTGGGACATGTTGCCTCTACTTGGAGCATGTATTTCCATTAAGGGGGAGTACTTGGGTTAGGACTATAGAAACAGTTATTAAATGATTGCATTCTTTACTATTTGTCCCTAGGATAAAGACCAAAGCAATGAGAAAGGCAGCAAGTCAAGAAAAGGAAAGGTTAAAAATGAGTGTAAAATAGATACTAATCATTATATGGCACTTGTTTTTCTTTTACAGGATACATTGAATCCACATTTTAAAATAGGAATGGCAACTGCCTGGGGGAAAATGTCCTATCCATTTAATAGAGGCTTAACGGGGTATTGTTTACCAGGCGGTGTTAGTTACTTCCATGTTACAAAAACCTTCAGCTGCCCATTTCTACACACAGCGCCTCTAGGGCATTTTTCTCCAGGCCTGTTGGCAACCCTAGTTTTAAATAAAATAATTTAACAACACTTCATAGGTATGACGGAACTTGAGAAAATTTGCAATTTAGAAATACTTTGTTAACACCGCCTTGTTTTCCTTTCATTACAGAACACAAGAAGCTAAGGCTGGAAGATTAGAGATATTCTATAACTCCCAGGTATCTTTCCATCAGCGCTTGTATGTGGACCTTGAAGCAATCCTGTTTCATATTCGTCTCTGCAAACCACTCTCAAGTATGACAAAACAGCCTTTGCTGTATATCAGGGACATGGTTCCTCAGGCATGCTTCCAAGCTCTGTCCAGGTTAGAAAGTTTTTAAATTTTTAGCATGGAGCTTCAGTAGACTTTTGAGATTTAATGTATGTGTTACGGCGCTGTAGAGACAATTTAGTGATACTTCTTTGGAGATAATTTTAGTGGCAGCTTGTAAGCACTCATCCTATCTGACTTATCAGTTGCAGTTTTTATTTGTCAGTGTAGAAACAGCAATATGTTTCTGGGGGGGGGATGGGATACACCCTGACTGTCCTAGTCATTGGGGAGGCACGCTGCCTTAACCAGTGGATCTTCCTTATTTGCAAGAACCATTTCCTACTGCTCTTCTGCTAGGGAAATAGCCTGCAATGCCACCCTCTTTTTCCTATTAAACATACATTTATCAGTATGCAATATATTCACATTAGTTCTTTCACATTTTAGTTCTGTTTTGCCGCAGGCCATTTGGGTGGTGGAGGCTGAAACTGTTTTTTAAAAGAGCTATTACAAATACCATGCATCAGTATTTTACAATTGTGGTGCGTAATAGTTCCCGTGCCCATCACGCCATGCTTGTGTCTTTCGGTTGCCCATCAGCCAGAAAATTCATTGGGTGGTCTTGGGCTCAGAGGGTTGCTGTAGGGATCAAACAGAGAAATGGAGAACCGTGTCGAGTATCCTGACTTTCTTGCAGGAGAGGTGGGGTAACACATTTTCCTGTGCTCAGTCATTCTGAGGGCCTCCTCTCAAATAAGTTCAGCAAAGCTCTTGCCTCAACAGTTAGCTTATCTCAAGGAGGAATGTATCCCTTTTCCCTTTCCTAAGCTATAACTTCCTTGGTGAACCATTTTTCTAAAGCAGAATTTACTGTTGGAATTTATCCCCACCCCACCCCCAGTATCATATTCATCAAAATGATGGCTGCATTGTTCAGCTTCCTTTAATACTTTTGAACTAAAATTTAATTTCCTCCACCGCTAATTTTGTCCTGTGTTCTTAATATTTCTTCCCTTGAATGAGAACTCTTCTTCTGATTACTAGCTGCCTTGAAGCTGTGTTGGGACATTTTCCCAATGTAGTTAGGTAGAAGGAAGGAAAGCATGTGAAGCAAATAGACTTTTCTGTTTGCAGGCATTAATTCAGCCCACATTTGCCTCTTTCCAGCAAGGTTAGTATGTGTGCATAGAGGCAGGCTTTCATGTGCACTACCCCTGAATCAGCTACAGTGTGCAAAGAACTAACGAGACAGTCAGCACTGTCATCTCTGACTGTTCCAGTTTATTCAGGGACGGAAGATGTGCATGGCTTCATCCCCTTAACAACTGAGAGCTGGTGGGGCTGCCTATGTCAGTGTTCACATATAGGTGCACACGTACAAGCTCGTGTCCATTTATTACTGCACCCTGTGTCAGAATTCCAAAGATGCCTGCAGGCTTAGAAAGGTTGGGGACCCTTGCATTACTGCACGCACATTGCTCTCGATCAGGGCTCTCATGGCCAGAAGGGTAGCTGAGAAAGCAGCGTTCAGTCGCAAATCTGCTGTTGAAGCTAGATAAAACAAAACCAATCTAAAATACATACAAAGAGTCCATGATCATGGGTACAGAACTGTTAGAAGACTTGGGTGTATTCTTAGGGTGACAAAGCCATAGCAAACATCAGGCAGTTAGGCCACAAATGATAAAGGAGATGTAATGAGAACAAAGTTCATGGTGAGGAAACTTTGCAGCCGGAAGCTCCTTGAAGAAATGATCTGGCTCAAACACAGCTTCTCAAGAACAGAGTGAAGGGCTGCACCCATGGGAGCAAAGAGAGGAAGCAGCCATGCACCCACCTAAACCAGCTGCTTTTCTGTTTCACAGATCCTGCTAAGGACACTCAGTGCAAAACGTGTAGGGGCCAATGTTCCCTCTAAGCTGTGGAGTCTTGTGAGCAAAAATTCTACTTTGTGAGCGACTGGCATTAAAGTTCTGAGCGAGCAATTTGGCTGCTGCAGTAAATCAGTGTGCTCTGGAGCCATCCCTTCCTGAGCTGAGAAAAAAATCTGTGAGCGAGAGGCTAAAAAACTGTGAGCTAGCTCACACTAACTCAGCTTAGAGGGAACACTGGTAGGGGCTATTAACACACTGGAATAAAATTGTCTCCCCATTGCACTCTTGTTTTTTTCTTCGTCTCTTTTGCTCATACACAGTTTCTCAACAACACACAAAGGAGTATGAGATAAACTGCCAGAACCTGCCAGAGAAAAAACAAATCCCTCATACTTTGGATATGAGGAAAAATGATTCTGACAGTAGGCACATTTCTTTCCTGAGGAAGCATACGGAAAGAGGTTGACAGGACCCCTACAGGTTATTAAGCTGTTCACACCGCAGTCCCTTATGATAGGCATAGGGTAAACTTGGGTTTAATGTGTTGTTTCGTCATACCCCTAAGCATCTGGCCTGAGGAAGCAGTGTAATCTCAGATGACCTGATTGCGTCTAGTGTGCCTGGATGTTACTTTAGACTATCTTGAGCTGTGAAGCTAGAGTGGGGGGAATATTAATTTATTTTTATTTTTTTGCTTTTCCTTTAACCTTGTTAGGGTTTTATGGCTGGGGACCCTGTACTCCAGTGTCAGCATGGGTAGCTAAGTTTCCTAGGGAGATATTGTGTTGTCAAAAGCCGCATTTAGTGAGCTTCTTTGTTGTTTGCTGGCATTGCAAAACAGTGGTGTGGCTTACATTGCTACAAATACTTGCTGATAGACACGTTGCAGTCGTGTTCACTGCTAATTTGCCTGAATGGATGCATCCGTTTTTAAGATATTTTTTTTCTAATTTGTGATAAATCAACAAACAGTGTTGCACTTTTCTGATCATGCATAGCCAATTTGCTTTCTTCATCCTGCGCTTCATCTTCCAGGCTTGATTACATCTGCCAGAGCAAGAGGTTAAGGGATATAGTGCATTACGATCTGTTGCCCTCTGCAGAAATGATCATTTCATTGAGTCAGGAGTTTGGGATCCCCTTGGCTAAAGATGACCTGCTCATTCAGCAGCAGTCAGAAATCTTGGAGATATACAAGCATCCAACTGCCTTTCAGGGAATAAAAAAAAGGCGCTCCCTTTTGGATAACCAGAATAAATCATACATCCTGAGAAAAAGTGAAATGGAAAGCCAGGCACCACAAGACTATATTCAGGTAGGTCTTATGCAGTGGTTAGAGTGCCAGACTACAACTGAGCAGTCCTAGTTTCCAATCTCTACACTCCTATGAAGGTCACTGGGGACCCTGGGTCAGTTGTAGGAACATCAAAAGAGAGCTGCTGGATCAGACTCCTGGTTCATCTATTCCCACATTCTGTTTCACGCAGTGGCCAGCCAGTTTCCCTGGTTGTCTCCAGTTGTCTCTGTCGTCCTAACCTACGTCACAGAGGTTTTGTGAGTGTAAAATTTAGATGCGGAGAAACATGTATACCTTTCTGAGTTAATCAGGGGAAGGCCAAATGCCTTTTTCTGCCATAGTGCAACCCACTTAATGTGATGGTGCTACCATAGCATGCACATGGGGGCTTATGTATTCAAAAGTACTCTCACAGCATGTGGACTTCTTAGGCACTGGGAAAAGGTTCAAGCAGATTGCTTAGCTGTATTCTAAAGTGTTGCAAGTTTTCTGGGGAACTGTGCCATGTGCTATTCTGACTGTTGGAATCACCTCTTAAGGTGAGCCTCTTGATAGCCTTTTCATCATGTGCCTTGTGTTAACACAACGAACCAATACAAGTGATGCTCTGTCTTCTTGGTGCTTGGGGGGGGATCAACAGTGGGAGAGCTTCTAGAGTCCTGGCCCCACTGGTGGACCTCCTGGTGGCACCTGGTATTTTTGGCCACTGTGTGACAGAGTGTTGGACTGGATGGGCCTTTGGCCTGATCCAACATTGGTGTCTCTTATGTTCTTATTACATTTTGAATTATATCCAAAGAAGTTTGAATAGGAGCTCAACTTTCAAAATGGTCTTTTCCTTTGCATTGCAGTCTCTGGCACCCTCTGAAAAGCCATTTCTGACAGCCTACCATTACCTTTTTTCACCGGTCCCCTTAATCAAGCAAGCAAAGCAGGCTCTGTGCCTGCGAACTTAATCTCAGGCACGTGTAAATGTGATTAAGACCAGGCCCTTGGAGACAGTGGACTTCAGCTCCCTCCCATGCCATTTTTTTAAAACCTGAAATGGCCTTGGGGGTGCACTGCTTGCCCTGTCGGGCACTCCTCTAACAAAATATGTTGGGAGATGTGATTTCAGAATGGGGACTGAGAGAGAGGGGTTCCACTTTCGCTTACTGCTGTAGTGTATATGGTAGATTTGTCTTACCTGCTGGAGTATTTTTTGGCCTCTGCAATGGAGAAAACTTCTTGACAGCCAAGGACGGCAAGTGAGGTATAGTGGTTAGAGTAAAAACAAAATAATGAGAAGGTCCTCAAAGTCAGGATAACAGAGGCCAAGCCGAGTCCCAACAGGTATGAAAGGCAGAATGATAACAAATTCTATTTGGAATGGGTAGTTCAGAATAACATAGCACTTTGAAATATTAACAATAGGTTACACAGAAGTAAAATTAACCAAAGTGTATTTGCAGTGCTAGATACCCTATCCACTGTTAACGGTAGGGCTGCCAAACTGCGGAGGGGGATCCGTGTGTCGTCACAGGATCGCTGCCGCGGGGGGACAGCAATACACGTTGCACCGGCATCACCAGAATGTGACGCTATGCGTCGCTCTGGCAACGGTCCTGTGTATCGCTGTCCCCCCGTGGCAGCGATCCTGCGACGACGCACAGATCCCCCGCCGTGGTTTGGCAGCCCTAGTTAACAGAAACAATGCAAAGCAAGAAATGGTGCAAACAAATGATCTTGCCACAGCTGAGCATATATACAAGTTATAAATGGAGAGACAGAACAATGACAAGTTCCTGGGTGGACACCTGTTTCAGTGTTCTCATTTCAGTATTCAGAATGAACCAATCTGTCCACCAGGTTAGATGTTCTATGACAACCAGTGAATGGGTGGGTTTTGACACCCGGGGACATCCTGTATGAGATGTCTGTGTTTGTGTATAAACCTTTTGACTTGATGTGAGAAACGATATTACATGGCCCAACAAAAGCAATTAGATATGGATGGTGGTCTGTTGGTAAATAGATTAAACCTCAAAATACTGCTAGGCCTTTGTCCAGATGAATCAGTGACCATCCTAGGAAATCATTGCTGAAGAACACCCTCAGAAAAGGAATCTGCCATGCTGTCATAGGGAACAACTCAATGTGCAAGTTGTTTCTAACCTTAAAAACTTACCAAAAAGTAAAGTGTGTTTAAAGTGTATGGGGTGATGGCTACCAAATTGTAGAATGGAATTCAAGAAGATATAAATACCAAGAAGACACATAATCTTACAGTTTAGGGATGTTTCAATATGGTCTATATATTCTTTATGTACTCTCAAGAAGATATTATTTATTTACAAACATTTATGCCCCATCTTTCTTCCCTTCATCAGGGCCACCAAGACAGGTAACAGATTATATACAAATACAAATATACAAATACAAAAATAAAACTTGTCCTAAAAACCATTAAAACAAAAACACATAATTAAAACAAACCAATATAAAATACATACAAAAACATCAAAGCAACAAAACACAGGGCAGAAAGGGAGGGAATGCCAAATGAAAAAAGAAGCCTTTACCAGCTGGTGGAAGACAGCCAGGTACAGGAAGGTATTTTTGGGGAGCAACTTCCAGAATTTTGGTGCCATGACCAAGAAGGCCCTCTCCTGGGTTCCCAGCTGCCTCATCTCAGAAGGTGGAGGCATCCCAAGCAGGGCCCTGGAAGATGATTGTAGCAGTTGGGGAGGTTCATAAAGGAGTAGGCGGTCCTCCTTGAGGTATGCTGATCCCAAGCCATGTAAGGTTTTAAAGGTCAACACCAGCACCTAGAATTGTGCCTGGAAACAGATTGGGAGCCACTGTAGATGGGGCAAGACTGGAGTGATGTGCTCCCTATGACCTAATCCAGTCAACATCCTGGCTGCAGCATTTTGCACCAGTTAAAAGTTTCAGAACACTTTAAAGGGCAGCTCCACACAGAGTGCATATCAGTAATCTAATCTAGATGCAAACAGGGCATGTACCACAGTGGCCAGACTTTGCTGCCCTGGAAAAGCCGCAGCTAAC